TAATATTTAATATTATCAAATGGAAAGAGTGTGCCATCGAGTCATGACCGTGTGGTCACTCTGACCCTAATGTACAATAGCCCTGAAGCCTGCCAGTCTCTCTGTCTCTGACACAGCTACCCCCATTACCCCAGTTACTGTATCAATCCATTTCATCCGGAGTTTTCCTCGCCTGCACTGTCCCTCCACCCCTCCAAGCATGATGTCCTTCTTCTAGGACTGGTCCCTCCTGGCCATATGCCCAGAGTATGTGAGGTGGAGCTTCAAAATGCTTGCCTCCAAGGAGAAACTTGGTCTCACCCTCTCCGAGACAGGTCTATTTATTCTCCTGGTGATCCGTGTTATGTTCCATACCTGTCTCCAGCATTAAAGGCGTCGATGATTCTTCTGTCATCCTTAGTTATTGTCCAGCTCTCTGATGCAGAACAAGTAATTGTGAAGACCGTGGCCTGGATCAGGCACACCTTAGTCTCTAGTCTGACATCATTGCTCTTTAGCACTCTGGAGAGGTCCCTAAACAGCACAGTTCCTCAGTGCAATTTGTCCTTTGATTTCCTGACTGCTGGTGCCAAGAGTGTTGACTGTGGAGCTGAGCAAGCTGAAATTGGTAACCTTAATCTCTTCTCCATCCATCATGATGCTGCCAGTCAGCCCAGTGGTGAGAATCTTTGTCTTCTTGATGTAGAGCTTCAACCCATATTGAAGGCTGCAGTCCTCGACTTTCTGCAGCAGTAGAATGGAGATAGTAACAGTGATAATTTCTCCAGACATTCATTGTAAAGATTAGATTAGGTGATACAGAATATTTGGCATTGTCTCTGGTACATAATCAAAACACTGTTGCCGAGTTGATTCTGACCCATTAGGACTCTCTCAGACAGTAGGTTTGCCTACAGGGTTTCTGAGGCTGTAATCTTTCCAGGGAGAGCCCTGGTGGTGACTGCTAGCCCCCAGATGACACCTGACTGGCTGTTCAGGTCCCCCAGTGGTCGCCGGGAGAAAGCCGAGCCTTCTCCTTCTGAGTGACCAACAGCCCGTCTTTCTCTCATGGGCTTTTGGAGGGTCAGCTGTGAGTTGGTTCTGCCTCGGTGGCAGTAACGGAATCTTTAAGCGAGGAGTCCTTCTGCCCTATCTTTCTCCTGTGGAGCGAGTAGTGGGCTCGTGCCATAGTGTTATTCGGAACCAGACATGACCTCCACCTTCTGAAAGCACACAGCCTACTGAGAGAAACAAGCACGATGCGTGACGTGATGTGGTCAGCAGGTGCTTACGTGCCCGGGCAGTGCCCTGGAGATGATAGAGGCCCAAGCGGAGGAGGCTCGTCTGCAGTGTGTGTGTGTGTGTGTGTGTGTGTGTGTGTGTGTGTGTGTGTGTGATGGACCCAAGCAGAGCAGGCGTCTGCAGTGTGTGTGTGTGTGTGTGTGTGTGTGTGT